CCTCCTGATAGAAATGCCTAGAGTCGACTTTTATAAGTTATTAGAAAAAAAAATAATTATAAGCGTATTATAACATTACTTCACGGAAACATTTTTTATGATTTAACGTCACAGATATTATTATTACCATTTATCTTTGAAGATAAATTCGACATTTGTTACGTATTGTTTTTTTTTCTGTTAATCTTGTTAAAAAAAGAAAATACAGATAGAAAAAAGAAGAAAAATGGAAGCTGCCGTGGGAACAGAATCTCGAAAATAGACGAAAGAGAATCCATCGAGCTCGCGAAACCACAAATCGAGACAAACGTGCCCATGCATATGTAGATAACTGTATCTGCATTGCAGATTTTACTGACGGAAGGAAAGAAAGAAAGAAAATCCACGATTCGATAGGTAGATTTTAGAATCCCGTTGAATTGTTCCTAAAACGCAACAGTGAAACAAGCTATCTTGTTCATTTCATGCATCGGATATCTAAAAAAAAAAAGCAAAAAGAAACAAACAAAATATCTACTCTTTAAACTCCATGAAGATCAAATTTGTATTAACGGAAAGACGAATTAAATGCTTAATAATAGGCACGTTAAATGATATTCCGCATCAATTAAAATATATATGAAAATTCATTTAAAATGGAATTAAATTTAAATACTAATTACCACGATTGAACGTTTGATACGTCAATGTCGAACGAATGAGGAAGAATATTTCTGTACAAAATTCGGACGGGGAAGTTAGGTGTGTGTATGGCATAATACTTGAGAAAATTCACTGAAAGTGGGCTAAAAAAGAGAAAAAGAAAGAAAAAAAAGTTGAAAGAAAAAACAGACAAGTTTTAACTTTTGACCTCATTTAGAGACTGTAGGAATATTAATTGCACTTTCCACTTATTCCAACCTTCTTTCTATTAGACCGTTCGTTTTTCATCCACAATTCGCGTAGGTAATTGTAGAAAACATCGAAATAAAAACAGCCCCGTTGGCTTGTCGCCAAGAGAAATTACTTGAAGACTCGAGCCTTGTTTCTGGAAGAAACTTTATCTACCTATCTATCTATTTCCTTCTTTCTCTCTCTCCCTCCCTCTTACTAGAAAATATATCCACCGAGAGAGAGAGAGTGTAAAAGAAATGAAAATAAGAAAGAGAAATGAGAAAAGAAGAGGGAAAAGGATAATAAGACAGATAGAGATAAAAGAAAGTGGAGGGGAAAAAGAAATCTCACGAGACGAAATACGAAAGAACAGATAAAAGAAGATCAAGTTGAAATGAGGTGGATAAAAGTAAAGCTTCGCGTCCTATTCCACCTTTTGTTAGTTTCTTATGAAATTCTCGGGAATTCTGATTATCGTTACTTTGTGCGGTTCACTTTCCTTCCAGAGATCCCTATCCCGACTTGTCCAGCTGCCTTAGCCTCTCGTCTCCTATGAAATAGTGGTAATGAACTGAGAGTAGCCGTTGGATTCGAGCCAAGGCAAACTCCTCCGCGGAGCTCAAACTGCGTGATCATAGCTAACATAAGATCAGTCGTGAGATCCATGTGAACGTGTGATACCATGATCTAAGAAGAAGCCGAAAAATAAAAGGGAACAAAAAGGAAAGGTAAATTGAGAAGAAACGACTTGTGAGAACAAGATGATCTATCTATGAGGATCTTCAAAGTGAACTTTAATAAATTGTTAGTTTAGCACTTTGAAACCTGTATTGAAGATTAATAAATGATATCGAAGAATACTTTATTAATACTAGAATTGGATGTATTTAATATTTATTTTAATCGATCAGAAAGAACAATTTTTAAAATTCGATTTTGTAAATTAATATTTAAAATATTATCTCTCACACACATACACACAGGTTCTCAATTGATGATACGATAAATAAATTTGTACGATAAATAAATACTACTTATTGTTCTCTTGAATATTAAAGAATTCTAAAATAGTACAGAAATCAAAAGATATGAGAACCACTAACAGAAAATAAGAATAAATCTTATACATCGACTCGCATGATCATCTAACAGTGGATTAAACCAATTATGATCGGACTCGTGAAAGAGAAAACTCTACTAGCAGTAGACCGAAGCTTTTAATACAACACAACGTTCAAAAGATTCGGTTGAAGGTTCAGAGAAGCAGCAGCTTCATTGATAAATCTCCTCTATGATCTTAGAACTCTTTGTGGCCTGTTCGAAATTGCAATCTAGTACTATTCATTAGCTTTGACGATATTGCATTGCTCAAAGTACAAGGCTACCACGACAATACGCGATAACGAGCAAACGAAGCGAATGTTAAATATAACTTCCTAACTTCTCGAGCACAATCTTTAAATGAAGATTCACGAAAGTTCTATTTCTCTCTCTCTCTTCTCGAACTTTATCTTTATTACTTTTCAAAATGATCTTTCGCTCGCTAATATTTTATTTTAATAATTATCTTACAATTGCAAACGTGTTTAAAAGTGTTCGTAAACATGATGTACGGGGAGTACCACAAATCGGAAAAGAAAAACTAAAAAAAAAATTAATATTATATTAATATTAATATTTATTTATAGAACAATAATTTATTTTTTATTTTAAATTATTATATAAATCTTTAATTACACATTTGTTTAGAAAATAATAGCTCACAGTACCGACACTTCAAACTTCTATCCAAATAAAAATTGATCATTTTTCAATTCAGTACAACTGAACGACTTTTCAATCACCCTGTATATAGAGATGCACAGATGTAACAAATAATGCATACGTACAAATAAGAGCTTATCTCAAAATTTATTTTCAAAAGTTTCCATACATTTTATTAACGTATTGTTTTCTTTTAACAAAAGAATCTTTCAATGCCGATATTAATATAATATTTTCAACTTATAATAACGATGATGCTGCTTTCGATGGAAAGATACACTACTAAAACGTGATAACTTTTTAAGCTTTTTGAAAAGTTATGATTTTTGAAGTATACGTATATATACGTAAGAAATAAATTGTTAGAATTTCGATCGAACTTTAGAAACTTTAACGCTCTGGGTTGGGTTGACCGACTATCCAGAAATAAGAAAACCAAAATGAACCTTTCATCGAATCCATCGACGATTTTAAGAGGAACGTAAAAAAAAGTAAAGCAGAACAAAAATATCTACGCAGCTGGAAATAGTTAAAAAACTGAAAACTACACACTATGAGTCACTTATTTCAAGTAAAATATAGACTTTTTTTAATTGCCAACAAGATATAAAAGAAACGATCTGTGCAACTGATGTGACTCAAAATAATATCTATGAAATATTATTATTTAATTGAATCGATAATTGAAGGATAGCAAATATAATACTCATTTATATTATAAAACAATTTTTTCATAAGATCATCAAGATTCAATACATTTTTTAATTTTTGTATTTTTCATTACAAATTTACAAGGAATTGCATTTACAATTTATATAGTATATTCTAATTCATATAACTTCTAGGTAATACAATAGAACATTTTTCTCTTGTTGTTTTCCCCAGACGTTATTTCGCGTGTACTTGTCAGTTCCCAGGAAAAACTCAACGGAATTAACCCACATACATATGTTCAAGGGTTCACGTACTTGAACTCCGAGACAAGTGGACGTTATGCACAACCACATACTTATATACACGCGTATACAAGCCGACAAACATGAGCTTAAAAGATTTAGACAAGCAACGAACAGTAAAACGTGGAAGAATGTCCAAGCAGTCTCGAGCTTGAGATTAGATGACGTGATTAAATTATTGTCTTGAACGAGTCATAAAACACAAATTAATTTTCAAACAATACCTATACTCAACAGCTATTTTTTTAACTTTTTATTTAATTTCTTAACAGTATATATAATAACAATACAAGTAATGAAAATATAATTATATCGTAATTTGTATGTTCTAAAATACTTTATTTCAATAAAAATACAGTATATCTCGAAAGTTATTTTACCAAATTGAAAAATTGTAAATTTTTGTATTAATAAGTATTTCGAGTGGTAACATAGTGGACCTATATTTTTTTCAACAATAAAATATTGTATTTCTACAATTAAGCCAATATTGATTTTTAAAATGAAATTTCTTAAGTTAACGGTAAAATTTTAAAAAGAGAGAGGAGAAATAAAGTGAGATAAATATTATGTGTGTGTGTGTGTGTGTGTGTGTGTGTATGTGTATGAAATACATCGATCGATAATTATTGCGAGATTCGTTTGTTGATGGAAGATAAAAGTGGGAATGTGACATACCTTGAGAGTGCTCGACGTACTGTAAATGATTGTTATTTAATCGAAGAAAATGTATATTGTTGTTTAAAAGCACGTAGTATGTGTTTAACGCACCATCCTCTTCTAAATCCACCGATAGACTGGTACGTTATCCTCTGTGAAAGTTCTTTTATTGAATGTTGTTTATATGACTTTCCGAAGGCTACATATGCATAACAAAAATTAATATTTGTAATAAATAGAATTTCCTTTTTCGGAAAGTCAAGTAAACAGCATTCAATAAAAGAACTTTCATAGAGGACAATGATTCAATTCAACGGTGGATTTCGAAGAGGAAGGTACATCGAACTCATACTCCGTACTTCTAGACTAGAATATACATTTATATCGATTAAATATCAATCAATTAAGGTAAATCTAACACAGTACTATATTATACTAATATTTTGGATACGTTTAAACTAAAATATATTTGTTTTATCGTTTCTGGCATCAGTGATGATTTTGAATTGAAAATTTAAAATATCAATATATTATATTTTCCACATGATAATACGAGTTTTACTTCTATCACGCATGGAGGTCAAGTACATTACTCTTTTTATTTTAATTTTGTTTTATCGAACATTTGAGATACCCTGTGTGTTATATTTTAAATATCAAAAAACGATATTTTGAAGGTGCTTGGTTCATATATTATATAGTACAAAATAAAAAAAAGAAAAATTGAGTATTTAAAAATGTACTCACCCTCTGTGCCTTCCTTTTATCAGCACGTTGATTTTGATGATATATTCTGCTGAAATTACTGACGATTACAGGTACCGGTAAAGCGATCACTAGGACACCGCTCAAGGAGCATACACCCCCGACGATTTTTCCCGCGATCGTTTTCGGAACCATGTCACCGTATCTGTAAAGAGAAAAAAAAGAGAAAATATTAAAACTTTGATGCGCGGGAGATTAATACAATAAATATAATTCATTAAATAGAAATCGATTATAATATATAGGATAGATATTAAACAATGAAGTTTTAGTGATCGTAATGGTTCACAATAGCATCAAATGTAACATCGTATTTCTGGTAAGGGAGAAATATTTTATATACTATTACACTCCCTCCCTCTCAGGTGCCACATACGAGAATGTTAGTCATATCTCGAAACGACCGTGTTATATCGTATAATGTTTCCCTCACGGCGATCTCCTTCTCATTTAATACAACAGGTTATTGTAGGAGTAATACAAACCGTACAACTTAAATATGTAATTTAAATTTGTATATATATGTGCACCTAGGTCTCTTTTTACACAGTTGATGCATATTGTACAAAAGAAAAGGTGTAAAAAATATTCCTGAAATAATTGATTTGCAGCAAAGTATCTAAATCATGTTTAATTAAAGCAATCCAATAGTCTTAAAGATACTATTCTTCATATCATTATATTGATTTTCTCGATTTTATAATAAGAATAAATAAAATCTATAATAAATAAAATAAATAAAACGTATATTAAAAAAATTGCATAACTGTAACCAAAGCATGATAAACTAATATGTAAAAGTTAATAACACGTAATAAAACACCGCGTCAAAATGAGAGGTATGAAAAAGTATCGTGTAATTAGAACCCCACGTGTACATCATTAGAATGACAGATAGAAAACGACGATGAAACTTTCTTGTGTGATTAAAAATAATTATTTAATTAATAAATATACCACAGAACTCTCGCACAACATTTCTTTTTCATTTAATTTTCTTGTTAAAAATAGATGCAAGTTTGTTATTTACATTTTATACTTTGAACGTTAGAATGTTAAAAATAAGTGTGTAATATATGTTGATAATTCCAAGTACTGCCTACTTTTTTTTTATTTTTCTCAAAGAGGACATAATTAAAAGGAATAATAATCAACGGTCGATAAAATTAATGTTAAACACGGTAAAATATTCCTTTCCAATTTTTAATCAATTTTTGTTTAACATAGTTCTTAATAATACATTATAACAAACAGAAAAAGAGATTAAACTATCGATTAAACTAGAAATCGATTTTTTAACAAAAAAATAATCAATATGCCAACGAGAAAATAATAAATCAACGTGAAAATATTGTCGATAACAAAGAAACATATATTATCGTGTAAAAGTACAAAAGATTTGTTAACAATTCCGAAGTATATATATATAAATGTATGCACGAACAAATAATAGTCTTCGGTATTTTTCTTTCCTTTATTTTTAATTTATCGTCGTCAAATTTCCGTCCGTATAAATAAAAAAAATTTATGCGCACTAAAAAGGGGAAAAGAAAAAGAGAGAGAAAAAAAGAGAAGCCATGAAATCGTAGAAATAAACGCGTTTAAATTAAACACCAAGCTGGACGCTTTAACGATTCGAATAAACGACGTCGAAAATTTGAGGGCCAACGTCGAATTATTTCGTAAGGTGAATACGACATTACGTTCAATTATATTGCCTCACGTCAGATGCTAAAATTCTAAAAGAACGTCTATAGTCATTCATATTCCTTGAATGAAGATGTATATGTAATGGATTGGAAAGAAAATATAACTTCAAAATACTTCGAATTATTCATAGGTATGTTTGTTAATAATTATAAAAGTAAACTAGCAATAAGTCAAAAAATTAAAAACATTGATTTTATGATTTATTTTATAACATGAATAATTTTAATATATAATTAATTAATTAATTTTTTTTATATATATAGTTTGTACACTTTTAGTTCGCTATCATAATTATTGTCAGAATGTTTGAAAATTAGTAGAAGAATTTTAATTATTGCAAAGAAAAACCCGACAAGTGAAATATTTTAGATTCATTTATTGACTTATATCGATAAAGTAATAAAATTAATCGATATCAGCTTTCGCGACAATTTCTGCCAATTTACATACAATACTTTAATGTAATTTAAAATACGTTACTCTATATTTGATACAATTTATATAAAATAATTTAATAACAATATATATATATATGCTTAAAATTTTAATTAGTGAGAAACATAAATAATATTAGATAATAATTTATTATTTATTCATTAAGTGCTGAAGTATTAATAAAATGTTTTCAGAAACGTAGATTATAGTTGTGACATCTGGGCCTATACTTAAAATCATAATAAATTTTATACGGCACCCCTTTATTCGACTATTATATATAATTAATTACAATTACTTTCGAAAACTGTGTTTAAAAATATTTAACAATATTTAACATTATAATATTTGTGTTAAAATAAAATTCTAGAATATATATTATTAATTAATAATAAAAATAAAAAAAGTTACATATGAAAAACGGTAGAAAATGTAGGAAGTCGAAGTAAAGATCCAAAATAAATCAACGTCGACAAATACGAATTGGCTCTCGTCGGGTGAATTTTCATGAGTTATACGCAGTTCGAGTAAAGCCTCCAGAAATGAAGGTAAACGAGTCCATTTGAGAGACGTTCTGAAAATGACACGATATACGGGATAAAAAATATCCTCCTGATATAGATGTAATAGAGTATGATGCCTCGGCATTTAAGAATCACGGAAATATCATCAGGCTGTATTAGAAGAGGGTCTCTCGAGAGAATTATAGACAATAACCTTCTCGTATCCCTTGACGTTAAATTATATCCAAGGACAAAGTTAAAAATCAATTTTTTGTCTTACGCAATCGTATGTACTTACTTACATGTATAGTTTAATTAATCTTCATGGTATTATCTGATTTAAAGTGATTGAATACTTTCTTTTTTTTTTTACCAGACTTGCAAAGATTTAATCAACGGTTCGTATAAAATGGTAATAGGGATACCATAAAAAAAAGAATAGCAATCCTATTAAACTTAAAATGAGATGCATCAAATGCGAAAGGAGACAGCAATAACGACACGAAAAGACCGTTAGATGGCCTCTTTCCGGAATTTTCTTCTAGGAAGTCAAGAAAAGTAAAGTTCCCGGATAATGTAAATCAAAAGTGAAAAATGGTAGTCGAAAGTTCAGACCACGGGTCTAATTCCTCGACCATGTTTGATTGTTTTTGAAGTGAAACTTCGTTTGGGACGGTGCCGAAAATTTCAAATGAAACGGCATATGAAAGATTTTCAGATGATAGCGTTATTTTAGTAGTGTAAGAGAAACGGGAAAATATCGATTGGGTAAAACTTGCAGGAGACGGCAGGGAGGTACGAGACAGCTGCGCACAAACAATTTAAAGCGCAATACGAAAAATATATGCAACAATGTCAGTATTAAGAATTATTGAAATCCAATCGAGAATCAAAATTTATCATGTGCTTTTTCTGATGGAACTCTATTTCTGAAATTATTAATATTTAAATTAATAAATTGTAATAAATTATATTAATATTTAAAGTGTGCTATATATGTACGTGTACAGATACTTTTAATAATTTTAGTTTTCGAGTCCAGTGTAAATATGCAGAAAAAAAATATTTTTATGAAGGAGACAGTGTAAATGTGCGAAAAAAATATTAATAATCTAATAATTCAAAAAAGTTACCAATATAAAAAACTTAAAAAGTTTCATTTCACTTGCGTATGGGTTCCACGTGATTAAATAATATAATTTTTTGTAGAAAAGAATTTTAATAAGATTTAATTATTGTTCTTATATTGAATTGCACATCGAACTACATTAAACAGTATTAGGTTGTAATCTTACAATTACATACATTTAAAGGATTAAAGAAAAACATTAGGGAAAAATGTGAGAAATAAGGTTATAATATAGTTGCATTATTATCTTCGGCTTGTCTTTTACGAATCTATTCGAATAGATACGAATAAAATAATAGAAAATCTTTTCAAAAATCACGATTGCACATAATTACGCGTAGTATGAATTGCATCTATGTAGTCCGTAGCATTATTAAAAAGGGAAATGTGTGCGCTAATTGGCAGAGGAAGGGAAAAAAGCTCATTACGAACACTTTGCAACCCCTGCTTTCTCTCTCTCTCTTTTTCTTTAGAACAAACGAACAAATGAAAGAATGAACGAACGAATGAATGAACGAATGAATGAACGAAGAAATTCATACTAAAATATATAATATATCCTGAACATTGAAGAAGTGTAAAACATAAACTGATGTATACAACTTTTTTCTAGAAATATTCCAATAACAAAATTATGAAAGATATTTGAAATATGTAATAATATGTAAGAGAAACCCTGATTAGAGTAAACCTTAACAAAATTAGCCAAAAAACAAAAATCATTAAAATAGCTAAAAATGAAATTTTTAGACGAGAATCCCCTTTTAACATCCTGTAAATTGATGTACAATTTTTATTCTTGTAAAAATAAAAAATAACGATGATATCTCGTTTCGTTTCTCATTAATGATAGAACGCATTTAAAGACTATTCATTTCGTTCATATAGCACGTTTTCCTTCACGTAATCTCCATTGCGTGTGCGAACTTACACAATTTCAAATCGAATAATACAAATGTAGCAACCTGATCCCGGCCGCTGCGATCCCGTGAGAATCGTAAAATGACGTAGAATCGAGGCCTGAGGATTCCGGAAGTGTAGTAGAAACAGCAGAGTAATTCGATCTAGCATCGAAGAACCAAAATGATGTGATCGATCACGAATTGGCTTATCGAGGATACACTGTTCCCTCTGCAACTTCCGTGCACTTCCGGGACCATTTAACTCCTCCCGTTTACATTTTCTTTTCCTTCCTCTATCGATCGAATAGAAAATTTTACTTAAGTATTTATTATTAGATTTATTGATTATATAGGGAACTTTTCGAAACTATAATAAAAAAGTTTTATTAAATTGAACAATATACTCTGAATATGTAAATATGTATTTATTTGTTACATAGGTGAAAAATAAAATTAATCTT